TCTTGCTCTTCCAAGAAATAGCTCCTCCTTGAGATAAAAATACCCAACCTGAATTTGATCTTCTATCAAAGTCTCCGGCGTGATCTGCATCAGCATAACCTAATACAAACTCATTTTGGTTTCCCCTTCTATAGAATAATGCTAGATCCTTGGTTCCCATCAAATAGCGGAGCACTCTCTTTGCAGCTATCCAATGCTCGTCTCCGTAGCTGTTGTTAAACTGACTGAGCTGACTTACTGTGTGTGCTATGTCAGGGCGCGTACAAACAGCAAGGTACATCAGTGAACCAATCAATGCGCGATACGGTACTTTTTCATCAAGTTCTTGATCAAGCTGTGGCCTCTCTAGCCTTTGTCCTGGTACTGCTGGAGTAGCAACTGGTTTACAGTTCTCCATTCCAAATGTACGAATAACCTTCTCTATGTATCCCTTCTGATCCAGTTTGATCCCTTCACTATCTTGTGCTATTCGTATTCCCAACATCAACTTCGCTGTGCCAAGGTCCTTCATCTCAAATTTGTTTGTGAGATCGGTTTTAACCTTCCTTAATTCCTCAACATTATTCCAGAACAATAAAATGTCATCTACATATATGGCAAGAATAATTACTTTATCTCCTGTAGATCTAATATAAACGCATGGTTCATACTCAGACCTCTTGAATTTAAGTTTCAGCAATTCCAAATGAAGTTTTTTATTCCATGCTCTGGGAGCTTGTTTAAGTCCGTACAATGATCTTTGCAACTGGCACACATAATTCTCCTTTCCCTTTTCAACGAAACCCTCTGGTTGCTTCATATAAACCACCTCGTCCAAGTTACCATTCAAGAATGCGGTTTTCACGTCCATGTGGTCTATATTAAGATTCATATGAGCTGCCAATGCAATCAATGTCCTCAAAGAGCTATGTCTAATAACTGGAGAAAATGTCTCAAAATAATCTATTCCATGCCTCTGGCTGAAACCTCTTGCAACTAGGCGTGCTTTGTATCTCTTATTTCCCCCTGCCTCTTCTTTGATTTTAAATATCCATTTAGAATCAACGACGTTGCAAGATTCTGGAGGTAACGTCAATTTCCATGTTTTATTTTTCTTGAGTGCATTAAGCTCCTCGTCGATCGCAGCTTTCCATAAGTGTTTGTCTCTTCTAGACAATGCCTCATCCACACTCTGCGGATCATCACAATCAGCTATTGTGTGATATGTAATGCAGTCAGGTATCGCTTTCTTCTTTCTATCTCTTAAAGGATATCTTCTTGTAACAGAACTCTCTTCATTTGTTTCTGTTTCTAAATTCTCATGCAGAATATCATCATCATTACTACTTACAATATTTACAGGTTCATTTTCCGATTCAATTTGATCTCTTTGAAAATCTTGAACTTCTATGTGATCTTCATATTCTGTGACGTTATCCTTAAAACTAAGCGGTGCTGACTTCTCAACTCTTTCAACTGTTTGCTTACAGTTTATATTCTCGTTCTCGAAAAACACAACATCTCTGGCCTTGCTTAAATGATTAGTTATTGGGTCTATTAAGCGGTAGCCTTTCGATTCTTCACAGATGCCTACATGAATCATTTCTTTAGATTTAGCGTCCCATTTCATCCGTTTTACTTTTGGTACGTGAATAAACGCTTTGCATCCGAAAATTCGTAGCATGCTTAAGTCTTGCTTCCTTCCAGTCCACGCTTCCTCTGGCGTTTTACCTTTAACTGCAATGGTCGGTGATCTATTCTTTAAATACACAGCGTAGTTCACCGCCTCTGCCCAGAACTTTTCATCTAGCTCTGCTTCCTGAAGCATACTTCTAGCTTTTTCTGTTATTGTGCGGTTTGCACGTTCTGCAACTCCATTCTGCTCGGGTGTATACTCAACCGTTAATTGCTGTTGTATACCACACTGCTTCAAAAATTTCTTCATCTGCTCATTGACATACTCCTTGCCATTATCCGATCGAAGAATTTTTAATTTCTTTCCAGACTGGTTCTCAGCAAATGTCTTGAAATCTAAAAATTTTTGAAAGACTTCACTTTTGTTTTTGATAAAATATACAAAAGTTTTTCTTGTAAAATCATCAATAAACGTTAGAAAATATTTACAGCCCGACATTGAGTCTTTACTCATTGGTCCACATACATCAGTATGAACCAAACCTAAAATATCATCAGCTCTGTTTGCTAAACCCTTTTTAAACGGTTGTTTGGTCTGCTTTCCCATCAAACAAGCTCTACACTGTAAGTTAACTGGATTATTAGTAAAACTTACCCCTGTAGCCAATTTGTCTCTCAGCAGCTTAAGGTTCCGTACACCAAGATGTCCCATACGTCTATGCCACAACTCTATGTCTATGGTACTGACAGTCGAGGCTAGTGCTTTCTCCTGTGAACAGAGCTTAAGTTTATAAACACCATTATCCTCCACACCTGTATATAAGACATCACCAGTAACCTTACATCCATCCGCTTTCAACAGTTCATAGCCTTTCGCTGAAAATACAACAACTACATTCTTCTTTACAATAGCACTCACGCTCAACAAGTTAGTTGCTAAGTGTGGTACATACATCACTTCACTTACGCCTGCAACATTCTCCTTACATACCACAGAACCTTCTCCAATACCATATACTTTACTACCATTCGCACATCCGATTTCCACTTTTTTGTCATACATTCTAACGTCCATTAAATACTCTTTGCTGTTAGTCATATGGCTTGATGCCCCAGAATCTAAAATCCACTCGTCTGGTTTTCCTGAAGTTGCAAGTCCCAATGCTATTGAAGCTTTCTTATTTTTTGAGTTCTCTGGACAATCTCTCGCTTTATGTGGTCCATTACAAATAAAGCATTTTATCTTCTGTGACTTCTTGTATGGAAATCTCCTAGTCTTGTTATGTGTATCAACACGCAATGCTATATCATTACTGCTTGAACTACTAGTGTTATACGAATCTTCCATTTGAAGTAATTTGGTTTTTATGTAATCTGTGGTCAACTCTACTCCTGAGTTTTCAATCGCAAGCCTCATTGGTTGAAAAGTTTCGGTCAAATCTTGTAACATGAGAGCAGCTAGCATCTCATCGTCAACTTCTTTACCGATGTCCCGTAATTGCTGCGCTACTAACATTATTTCTGTTACATAACTCCTAACTGATGTAAATTGTTCAAGTTTTAGGCTAACTAACTTGGTCAAAAGTCTGCAACGGTTGTTAAGACCCTTATCTTCAAAAGCCGATCTCAAAGCGTCCCACGCTTCTTTAGCTGTCTTAGCGTTTCGAACGTGAATCAGACAGTGGGGCTTTACCATCAAGCATATTTTTGCTCTCGCTTTTTGGTCTTTCCTACAGCCTACTACATCAGTTTTATCTGGCGTTGTTTGTGTGTACTCCCATAAATCATCGTGAATTAGATATAATTCTACCAAAAATTTCCAAGTACTATAATTCGAATTTCCATCGAGTTTCTCTATGCTCATACCTGTGTCGTGTGAAGGCTGAGATCTCTCCGATCCATCGCTGCTCGAATTTACCTTCATACTATTTCCTTGTGTAGCCATATTTTAAGTCTTCTTATATTTATCATATGCGGCCCATAACCTGATCGAAGACTAGATAACCTCGATCATATATAATAAATAAAGAATGCCAGCTAATATTGACTTAATATATATTTACAAACAAAATAGAACACATGAGTACAAACAACGTATCTAAGCAAGTAACAACCAAAACTTGAAGTGCATGTCAGTCAGTATATTCAAATAATTCTGACAACCACAAACCATACGAATAACAGCAATGAGATTACACGCAAATATAAACTCCTAGCAATTTGTCGCTCTAACAGTATCTCAACATGGTTCCAAATCACAAACGACAATGTCGTCCAAATCCTTTTGTTTGTCGGAAATGTCAATCAAAAGGATATCAATCCAAAATAACGTTTAGTTTCACATAGGTACTACTACTTATTAATGTATATGCGCATAAAAAATACAAGGTACTATAATTGTTAAACTTTTTTATAAACATAAATTAATTATATTTATAACCGAAATGCTTATTTTATCCATAATATTAAAAAAGAGAACGATATTTTTCGAAAACTTAACTGGCATTTTATTGTTTGTCGTGAAACAAAACGCATATGCCATGTTTTCGTTCTTCTCCTAACGGAAACAGTAGATACAAATTATTTTAATATTTATTTCGTATCCGCCGCTTTTACAAAGTAATAATTAAATCGGTACGAGAAAAAAAAGTCGTATATATTTTTTCTTAAATTTAATATTACTGTATATGGTGGGTCAGAATCTGTCATTGTCATTTAGTTTTAAAATTAGAGAATCATGTCAGAATCGAAACCATTGAATGCTTTCAAACAATCTGACATTAGAGTCACTGCTCGTAGACGACTTAGCCTATGGTGCAGGATGCGCGTTGCCTCTTCAACGCAGGAGGGGGAGGAATGGTCAGCCTTACCTTCTGTGGCTACCAGGGAGGGGGTGCTCCGCGGCACCATCGCGAGGGGGTAGAAACCCAGGCGTAACAAGCGGCGACTCATAACTGGACCCCCCAGTTACGCTTGGAGGGTGAGGGGTAAATCGGGGAGTTGGTTAACCTGGTAGGTACGGGAGCTGGTCGGCTGGCTAGCCGCTCGGACTGCGGTCCGTGAGACTAGTCAGGTGACACTGTGAACGGAGAAGCCCAGGATCGGCTAAAGCGGGTGCGGACCGGGCTGCTCGTCGGGGCGGGGTGGTTTGACGTATGCCACACTTGCGTGAGTGCACGTCAAAGTATACCCGCACCGACTAGCGGCCCTCGGGCTGCTCGCCGCTTGCCGAATGCACCACGCAATTACCTGCGTCGCGAGGGTTTGTTAACAGCAAACCAACGTGGCGTCGGTCATTGTCGTGGATATAATGCATTTTTTCTCCCCGTCATCGAAAAAAAGGGTGTGCGTTACACGCGTGCGCAGTTAAGTAATTGTTTACTCACCGGATCGTCGAATATTTCCTCCACTCTCGTGTAGATGTCTTTGCCCCTCTTCTGCCTGACCAGTAAATATAAGTTGTCCACTCCTGGGCAACACCTCAAAAGCTTTTCCATTAGAATTTTGCCAAGGAACCCTGAAAGTAGTAAACAAATCAATCGGAATCTAGAGTAGTAACATAAGGCTATATGATGGCCTTGTAAAGTATTGCGGTATAATTTGTCAAACTATATTTTTATTGGTAATGTGATAATAATCTTTGGTGAATTTTGGGTTCTTTGGTTTGGAGATACTACTCACTAAAACCCTTCTGTTTTACTTTATATTAACATAGTATTACGGTATTTGATCAAATAGGAAATACCATTTGCAAGTAGAAACTCAAGAACCCAAAAACCCAAGAATATTTATAATATGCCAACGATTCTTTTCGCAATCTCACAAAGTCGGATCGCATTTTCGCAAGAACCCTAGGATTTTCATAAAAAATCGATTTATCAAATCATCCTACGACATAATATAAAACATAATGATAAAATTAAGAAAAAGAAACAATTCTTACCCGTAGCGCCCGTTATCAATATGCTTTTACCATTGTAGAACCTTTGCACTTCCGTCATATTATCAGTCTTATTACTATAATCACTTATCACATTACCGTTTAACCTATCGTTATAGCAATCGTTATCTACACTTCCAATCATTTTATCGTCAATCACAACTGCATCGTTATCTAAACTTCCAGTCGTATTATCGTTATTCACAACTTTATCGTTAATCAAATTTCCAGTCGTTTTGTCGTTTACCAAAACGGCACATATACTGCCATCGTTAAACGGCTCTCTGCAATCGTTGATTCGGTTTCCGTTATCTGTGCGATGTGCTGAATTCTCTTTGCTTCCAACCGTTGTCAGCGTTGCCAACTCCATTTTTGTATCAGTGTCGTCTTGACATTGTTCTGTGAACAAACAAAAAAATAATTATTTTAGACTTCAAGAACAGTTTTTCACGGACCTCAAAATGGTGTACGCTCTCAATTCGATAGCGTTTTATAATATGTACAGCACCAATCCGTTAATTTTACAGTGATGCTCTCCTTCACCGGGAGAATTCGCTTGTAATATAAGATTTTAGATAAGATTTTGAGCATTACGATACAATACTGCCTCCCTGACTTGTGAGCATTCGCATGTAATGTAACATTTTTGATTAGATTTTGAGCATTGCGTTCAAATATTGCCTCCCTGACTTACGAGCATTCGCCTGTAATGTAACATTTTAGATTCGAATTTTAAACATTACGTTACAATATTGCCTCTATAATTTACGAGTATTCGCCTGTAATGTTACATTTTAGGTTACATAATAACAATAAATATTCTTTATTGCACACAACAAAGGACATGAAAAAATAAAACAGAAGAAAGAGTACAATAGGCGGCCTTATTGCTAAAGAGCAATCTCTTCCAGGCAGCCTATGGTGGAAGAGTAATAATAATATAGATAAATATAGAAGGATGCAAAAGTAAATACAGGAGATGTACCTAAATATTTAAGAGAAGCAAAAGAAATGAATGAGTTTAAGAAACGGAAAGGAAATTGCTTTTAAATTGAACGCTAAAGGAATTAAGTGAACGAGCCTTTTTGGTTCCTCCAGGGAGAGAAATCATCAGCCGAGCAGTATGCACAGAAAAGGAATAAGAAAAGAAGTCAGAAGAGTGACAGGGGATTTCAGAAAGAAGGTTGGAAAAGGAATAGGATAGAAAAGAGAAACACTGCTTAAGATAAGGCGGAGAAGATGACAGGAAAGTATAGAATAGAGAACCGTGAGAGTGTGTAGATCCCTGCGCCGGCGAATTGAATTTACTACGGAAGTGAGACACGTGGTCGAATTTTCGAAGATAATAAATGAACCTGATACAAACATTTTGCAGTCGCTCTAATTTATTGAGAAGTTCCTACGACAGATCGGTGTAGCAAACGCCAGCGTAGTCGATGATGGACAACAAGAGAGATTTTTCCAAGTTGATTTTTGTACTGATCGGTAAAAAGTTCCACAAACGACTAAGACAGCAAACACCTTTTTCCTGACTACATGCGGTTCCCAGGAGAAACTCCGGTCAAAGACAACACCCAGGTTTCCGACGGTTTCTGAGTAGGGAATAATAGAACCGTTCAAAATAATAGGAGGGCATTGATCAAAGTCAACCCTGGAAATAAAATAAGGACTACCAATTATGATCGAATGAGTTTTATCAGGATTTCTCTCTAACTACTTACAAGCGACAAATTTTGCGTTGATATTCGAAACTGCGTTAGAGAGGTCAGAAAAAAGGAATTTGACAAAGGAAAGGCAAGGGCGGGCGGGGCGGGGGATGTGTTAGGTTTATATATAGCACAAAGACGGCTAAACCTAACAAATCACCTATTTTACCATTCTGCGTCCCGTCTGGTAATTTGGTGGATGGTCTGGGGAGCGAGCGCATGTCGTGTAGATCCCCCAGACAAGCCTGGCTGTTTTCCTTCACGTGGTTGCCGCCCGTTATTGGTCTGATTCCCTATGAAACAGACGTAACTGAAATGGTCAGACGACTTTCCCCCCCCCATCCACCAGGAGTAGGGAGGCGGCCTGGTGGTGCGTCAGCCTCTCCTGCGCTAGGACCTGCGCAGCATCGCCGTAAGCAGGGATGAAGGGATCCTGGTGTTTGAGCGGAAAGGGTAGCTGCGGCACCCCGGAAGCAACACAGCACTTTGGCCCGGATTTCCAGCGAGACGGTAACTTCGTGGTGTAGCCGACCACGAGGCAACGGTCAAGGCGTCTACCGTCTATGGGTCGCCGGCGAGGGGTGTGGGGGTCGCTCTTAACATCTAGCGATGGACTCTGGCCATGCTGAAGGAGCAAGGTTGCATGGAACCACTGGTAGTTGGGATCGACTACCAGCCATGCAGCTGCAGTTCCCGATGTCGCGCTGTGAGGAAAACCCTGTGCCCCTATATCCTCACCACAATCCTGGTGCCTTGATTTTTGATATCGGCATCCCAGTTGTGGCTCCGTGGCGGGTGGGACTGGTGAGGATGAACTTTTTTTGAGACACGTGTAATGGAAACCAACAGATCCCATACAAAAACGAACAAGGACATGACATCGTCTGGAGACCTGGTGAAGGGGAAACCCGGTGACAGGCAGACGAATATAACAGACAAAGAGTCGGTATACCTGGTGAAGGGGAAACCCGGTGTCAGGCCGACCAACACTGACCTAGACCTAGACGTACCATCTACGTCCCGTGCGTTGGAAGCCTTGGTGAAGGGGCAACCCGGTGTCAGGCAACAACCACAGGACGTGGCTGGTGACTTGGACTCCTGGCAGGTCGCTACCTATCGACGTAAGAATCGGAAGGCAGTGGACAAGACTGGGAATCCAAACAATGACAAACACAAAACGACAACCGACCAGCACAGACTCGGACAGAGGGCTAGGAAGGCCCGTAACAAAACAGCAGCTGGCAAGGCCGCCCAGCAGATTGTTACGGGTCAAGGAACCCAGGACAAGGTACAGACAGACAGACCGACAGCTAAAGGACAGACGGACAGACAAACCGACAAAGGACAGACGGACAGACAAGAGGCCTCGAAAAGGCCCAGACTGGACGACACGGTCTCACCGAGGGGTCAATATAAAAAACCAAGATCCGAGGGGCCGCGTCGAACAACGGACAAAAAATCCTTCGCGGATGCTGCTACAGCCGACTTGCTCGTAGTAATTACGGGCAAAAAGACAGGCCACATCAGCGCTGCCCATGCTGGGTTTGTCCTTAAGGCTCTGGAGGACGCCGTTGTTGAGGAACTCCTTATGGCAGGACCTTCAACGGACGAAGGCCCGAACCTTAAGGGCAAGCCCATTATTGGAGACGGAGCTCTCAGCCTCTGGTGCGAGACTCCCCGCACGCTGGAGTGGGTAAAAAAGACCGTAGCTGGCCTAAAGGTCCCGGGGTATGACGATGAACTGATGGTGCAGCGCCAAATTGATAGGCCGAAGAAGGTGGTGTGTGGTCTTCTTGTCCCGGGTACATACGATAGCCAAGCTGCTGCGCTATCAGAATAAACAAGCAGACGTCGACCGATGGTTACTGCATAAGGCCATCGCAGGTGATGACAACACGTTCCTGGTGTTCAGCACCACCAGGGACGTTGCAGAGAAGCTTCTGGAGAGAGGAAGGAGACTGTGCTACCTGATGGGTTCGGTGTACGTTAGGTTCAGGAACCAGGGCGGTCAATACCTGGAGAGCCTGCCGCCTTTAGAGCCACCAACATCTGCTCCGTCGCCGAGCACATCAGGGGGCATAGCAGCATCCACGCCCGACCAGAAGCAGGTGACAGTGACTCCGTCTCCGGCGGATCCCACTTTGGGTGAGCAAGGAGCAGCGGACGTCATCGACGAATGGGCAGACAAACTGGGTGGAATCGACATCGGGCAGGAGGTGGATGTCGATGTTTTGCTTGCGTCCGATGGCGCCTCCACCGAGTAAAATCAAAGTCCTGCAGACCAACCTCCAGCACAGTCGCACCGCAACGGCTCAACTCAGGAAGTGGCTGGAGGACAACAACGACGGGGCTATTGCTCTGGTCCAGGAGCCGTGGATCAGATCCAACATCATATGTGGCCTCAACAACACCGGTGGTAAGAATTTTTACAACCCAGGTAACCGCTCACCGCGGACCTGCATAGTATGTTCAAAACACCTACAGGCAAAAATAATGACACAATTTTGTTCTAGCGACATAACAACAATCCAAATTATACAACAGCAAAATCCAAGTGTACCTGTCCTGGTAGTTGCCTCTGCCTACATGCCTGAAGGAGAGGAAGCTCCGTCAGGGGAACTGGCTGAGCTGGTGAGACACTGCGAACAAACAGACAAGGCGCTGATCATCGGCACCGACTCCAACGCCCACCATCAATTGTGGGGTATGACGAAAAGCAACAAACGAGGTGAGGAATTAGTAGATTATCTATTTACCACTAACCTTAATATAATAAACACAGGATCTGAACCTACTTTCGTAACAAGAAGGGGCAGATCCATCATCGACCTTACACTAGCATCAAGAAGAGCAGCGGATCTGATCTCTGACTGGCACGTTTCCCCAGAGGCATCCTGCTCTGACCATAGGTGGATTAGGTTCAACATCGCGGTACAGCGTGTCACCCAGCCACCTAGACGCATACCTAGCAAAACAAACAGAAGCCAGTATCGCAGACAGGTAACTCGGTCACTGCGACATCTGCAGTCTGGTAGTTTAGACGAAACTTATAAGATAGACGAAACAGCTGAGGAATTAACAAGAGTTATAATCTCAAGCTATCAGACAGCCTGTCCTCTTAGTACACCATCATCCAACTCGGGTGCCAGCCAGTCTTGGTGGGGTCCCGAGCTGGAAAAACTGAGGAAAAAGGTAAGAAGACTTTTTAACAGGGCCATGAATACATGTGACGACCAGGACTGGGATGCGTACAAAGATGCCAAGGCACTTTACAAGAGACGCATCCGACATTGGAGCAATGGGTCTTGGAGAAAATTTTGTTCAGATATAGACTCATGCACAAAGGCAAATAAGGTAAGGAAACTGCTATCTAAAGATAGGCAGCAAGACCTAGCACAGCTCCGGAAGGCTGATGGCTCCCTCACAGAAACAACTGAGGAGGCACAGAGGGTACTACTTGAAACCCACTTTCCGGGCTGCATCATACACACGACACATACTTGGAATGACACTAGCTGGACCCCCACGGAACAATCCTGGAACACTGCATTGAAGACAGTGTCTACAGATAAGTTAAGGTGGGCCATAAACAGCTTCCAGCCATTCAAGGCAGCCGGACCAGATGGCATCTTTCCGGCGCTGCTTCAATGGGCAGGTGAAGCACTAATCCTTATCCTGGTGCCCCTCCTGAGAG